AAGGTATAAAAACCCTAGCCCAAAGCTAAAAAAAAAAAAAAAAAAAAAGTCAAATCAAAATCTCTAAAAGGCGTGCATGATCTGAGCTAGGCCATCACGAGAAATTTCGTCAATTACTTGAATTGATAATGCATAAGCAAAGAGTGTAAAATCGAGCGTTAAGCATAATACATATTACTATTCAATATGGGGATAATACATTACTAATATATGTATGTGTCTATATATATATATATATGTATATATAATATACATCAAATATTGAATGATTTGTTTATTTGGCTTACCAACAAGCTAGAGAAGCGGGGGTGCTTTAGTAAAGTACTAGGCAAATTAGGCTTGAAAACGTCAAGGTCAATCTTGGTCTTGAATCCCATGATTGCTAAGATATGAACGTTCATGTTTGGCTCGTTAATTAAACAAACGCCCCGTGGGACTCAATGGCTCTTCATCCTCATGATCTTCTCCCTCGATCTGAGGACCATGATCATGATCTTGATGATAATCTCCGTCATATTTTTCCCATGATCCGTTTTGAATTTTTATTTCAATTGGTCTCGGCGGACCAAATTGCTTTCTCATTCTGAGGATCCCTCATTCCGTTATATAGTTGTGAAATATGTTATATATAATGTATTTCCAAACAACTATATCTATGTATATATCAATGTAACATATATATACTACTAGGAACTAGTTAGTAATTAATTAGGGCGAAATGCTGAGATCTAATATGCATACATGTGTGTGTGACTGGTTGAGGAGTGCTATTGAATTTTTAATTATTATCTATTAATTCTCGCCGTACGTGGCCTTCAGGATGACCGTGCATGCAATCAATAGTACACATGAGGCAAGTCTTATAATGTGGATTCAAATCACCTGTCTAATTTTTATTATCTTAATTGGTGTCTAACTAATTATATTATGACATGTGATTTAAAAAATTTAATGAAAGGTTGAAGTTTTATAATGGTTTGTGAACTTTCTTCTCTTAATATTAAGATTCTTTGAACTCTATTCTCTGGGCTATTATGTTTCACTTTTGGATGTTCGACAAATAGTTATGTTAGTGTTGATATATCCCTAATAAAAAGGGTGAAAAAGGACATAAGGTCATTTTCGTTGATTAAGTGGATAAGTTACAAATTTATCTTTATTTGTAAATAGTACTAACGATTCAGGAACTACAAATATTATTAAGGGACAACTGAGAGAATTCTAGGGACATTCGGGGCATGTTTGTGATTGTTGTTCTTTTAAAGAGAAATTTAATGAACTCACTTTTTGAATGTATTATTTTAAGATTTTTATCATTTATTTTTAATTAATATTTTTTAATTAATACAATATTTTTAATTAAAGAATATTAATCAAAATTAAGAGATAAAAATTCAAGACCTATACATTGTAAGGATATTTGTCTTCTTTTTTCATGACAGAACCCTTGTCTTCCAACGTTGTTATGCTGATATTCTAACGAGATGTCCTAGACTAATATTGTATAATATATCAGACTCCAACAAAACATTTAATCACAATTTAGCCATTAATTTAATATAGATTCTCTGATATATCTGGTATATCAGTACGTCAAATTTTTTTAATCGTTAAATCTACGTACGTTTTAATTTTTACATAATTTTATATCAATTTAATAGAAAAAAACCTAACAAATCAATATGTTAACCTATCAAAGAAGCCTTTAATCTAATTACGAAAGCCAAGAAATCCAACTTCAACTTCCTTGGTTTCCGTACAGAATGATTGCGCGTACTCTGTATTATGTATTATTATGTAATAATAGTTACTGGTTTATATATATATATATATATATATATATATATATTACTAATTAGGTTGTTAAAGTGTGGCCATCAATTATGGTCCAATTGGTAGGACTAAGGACGGAACAGTGGAAGTATTAGAGATATCAAAAGATAATCTCTTTATTTCGAATATTGTACAACTGTAATTAGATTTGTATAGCTCAGCAATTTAAGTTTCCTAGATTAGAATAAGTTTCTAATTTTAAATTATTATTTCCTAATTCTTTTGTAATATGTTTTCTATACTCCTATTCATCAATGGAAAAAGCAGTGTGATTATTTTCCTCAATTCTAAATTATTATATGGTATCACGCCATCGGTCCTTCCTTCTCTGAAAAATCCGGCCATCTCACAACCTAACCCACTGGATTTCTAAATCTAACCATGGCCGCCGACCAACCTCAGCTTCCTCTAGCCGCCGATTCTCACATCGTCGCCCTCCCTAATCCCGGCAACCAGACCCATCCACTCCCACTCATCAATATTGCTCATCACAATATTGTTAAACTTACATCCACCAACTACTTGTCTTGGAAACTTCAGATGGAGGCCATTCTTGTCGGCTACGATCTCTACAAATTCATTAATGGTTCTCATCTGTGTCCTTCGTCTACCGTTCGCATCAACGACGTAGACACCCCCAACCCGGACTACTTTCTGTGGATTCAGCAAGACAAACTATTGTTTGGCGCCTTTGTCGGCTCCATCTCCTCTCTCTTGATTTCACTTATCCAACGTGTCACCACCTCTTGCGCCGCATGGCTCACTTTGGCCAACACCTATGCTCGCCCGTCTCGTGGGCACATCAAGCAAATCAAGGACCAAATCAAGCGCTCGGTCAAAGGGTCTCAGTCAATCACTGAGTATATGCAATTTATCAAGTGCCACTCTAATGAACTCATCGCGCTTGGCAAACTGATGGATCATGAGGATCTGATTGAGAAGATTCTTGATGGTCTTGATGACAACTATAAGGCTCTTGTTGATGTTATTGAGGGCCGCGACACACCTATCTCGTTTGATGAGCTTCACAAGAAACTGATCAATCGGGAACTGTCCCTCAACCATAGTCAACATCTCCTCTCCTCCACCCCGGTCACGGCCAACGTTGCATCCGGTCGTCACAACGGAGGCTCTCAAACTTCTGCCTCCCGCCCTACCTGGACGCCTCAACAGCCGAACCCCGGCCCCACTCCACCGACTCAGGCTGGCCCTGGGTCTTCTCAATGCCGCTCGCCCCGTCCATATCTCGGTAAGTGTCAAGGCTGCCGTGCTCAGGGGCATACTGTCGCAAACTACCCTCTTTTCCAGTTGGTTCCAGCCAACAATGCTTCCCCGTCAACCCCCCGATCTTCAGCCTCTACTTCTGGACGCTCTCCTCAGTGACAACCACGGGCACACATGGCTACTACCCTTGCCTTGGACAACCCCGCGTGGCTTCTAGACTCCGGTGCTTCTCATCACGTCACTGTCAATTTGAACAATCTTTCGCTTCACGCTCCGTATGACGGCCCAGACGACATTGTTATTGGTGATGGTACTGGGTTACACATTTCTCACACCGGTTCTGTCTCTTTAAACACCTCCTCACATTCCTTTAAGTTGCAAGATGTTTTGTGTGTTCCAAATATGAAACGAAATTTAATTTCTATATCTCAATTTTGCAAAACCAATAAAACATCCATTGAATTCTTACCAACTTCTTTTCTTGTGAAGGATTTAATGACGGGGGCAACACTGCTACAAGGACGAACTAGAGATGGTGTGTATGAATGGCCGGCATCATCACCTTCCACCAAATCCAAAATCGCCCTTTCCAGTGTCAAAGCTTCTTCTGCTGATTGGCACCATCGCCTAGGCCACTCGTCCGAGTCTATCCTTAGACATATCGCGTCTACTTTTTCTTTAGCTTTTTCTTCTTCTATTTCCAAGACTTTTCATTGTAAAGACTGTTACTGCAATAAAAGTCATAAATTACCTTTTTCTCAATCCACTATTGTCTCTCACGTTCCGCTTCAAATTATTTTCTCTGATGTGTGGACCTCTCATGTTCATTCTGTTGATAATTTCAAATACTATGTCATTTTTGTGGACCACTACACCCATTACATCTGGTTGTATCCTCTCACCCGTAAATCAGATGTTTCCATGGTATTTCCACGCTTCAAAGCCTTAGTTGAAAACTTCTTCCAAACAAAAATTGTCACCCTCTACTCTGACAATGGGAGGGAATACACAAGTTTAAAATCATTCTTGTCCACCTCTGGCATTGTAGTGACCAAGGAAAAAATCCCATAATTTTAATAATGTAATTCATGTATTTAAGTCAAGAATTTCCCTGGAAAATCATTATACTATGTACATTTTGTGATTGAAGAATTTATTGAATTAACATCTGCATTCCTAAATTCTGTAGCAGATTTCACGTTAAGTTCACGTTTTTCTAATCAAGCAAATTCGATCGATAAATTCTCACCGTGCTTTAAAACGGACGAATTTCCAGTACAGATACAGTTTGAGAATCTTAATTTTAAGAATCTCCCAGCACAGTACAAACTAGCATCCAGTACCTGTATACAAGAGAAAATAGATGTCAGTATAATTTTAGACAGTTTTAATAAGTAACTTAAGGGAATGGACAAAAGTACAAGGGGTAGGTTAGTGTGTGTGATTTGATGTGATAGTAATGATTGAAAGTAAATCATGACATTTCCTCCTTCACTTGGACGGCCATCTTCAAGGATTTATAGCCAAAAATTTTGGTTAAATGTTGAGTGTACTAGAGGATTGATGTGATAGTAATGATTGAAAGTAAATCATGACATTTCTTCCTTCACTTTTCTCTTCACTTGGCCGGCCATCTTCAAGGGGTTCAAGCAAAATTTTTGTTAGTTAGGTAGACTAAAGGAGGTAATAACCTAGAGGTCTATAAATAGAACCAATGTGATCTAAGCCTAACTTTTGCTTTATCTCACTTCCTTCTCCATATCCAAAACCGGTTCTCCAAAGCTCCAACCCTCAAGTTTTCTAAACTTTTTCCTCACCAAAACCAAGCCATCCCTTACCTCACACACACTCAAAAGTTCCCATAAATCTCACCACAAATCCTAGTTTAAGTTGAAGGAGAAAAGGAGGAGTCTAGACAAGCATTTCTCCAAGGGTAAAAACTCTAAAATTCTCTTTTTTTTTTATGTTTTAGTAAAGTTGAAAATGTAGAAATATTCTTCTCAAATTTTCTTATCCTCTTCTAGTTTCAAGCCGTTAACGAATCTTAGAGGAGATCAAAGGCTTTCAAGAGAGAGAAAGAGAGAGAACTCTTTAAGGGTAAGATTCTTAAACTCTTCTCCATTAATTTCTAGCCAACTTTAAGCTTGGAATTGTAGATGTAAATTTGTGGTTCTTGAGGAGATGAGTTGTAATAAGGGTGTGTGAGTTTTATGTTGGTTTTGTGAGTTTTGAGGTTAGTTTGATGTGGTATGTTTATGCTTTGATCTAAGTTGCTTATTTTTGGATTAGAGGAAAAATTTTCCGGTGACTTTGACCGCGA